CCCTTGCTACTGGTCGACTGGCCACTCGCATTTCGCACCATAGATGGGACCTGTTTGCCCTTTCCTTTGTTGACTGCAGGGGACTGAGCGTCTCCATTAGCGACAGGCCCGCCCATGCTAAATTCCAATTGCCCGCCCGCATTCAGCGCATCCAGCGCATCCTGAATTGTTTGCGGTGGCCTTGAGGCACCATTTACCGACTCCTGCTTCTGCTTATCGACCGATTCGAAGGTCTGTCGGATCCGCTCGAAATGCTCAAGCTCCTTGGCACTGGATGCTGTTAGTAAGGAGAGAAATCCGCATCGGAGCGTCCGTCGTAGCTTACCTAACGCTGGGAACAAGCTCATCTTGGGCCGCCCGGAAGTCGTCTTCCGTGACCACCACCGCCACGTCATCCGGCGTGGCAAGATGGTCAAAGAAGTACGCTGTACTGACAGGCTCACCTGGAAGTTGCTTGATCTTCTCATCCACCGCCGTGGCCTTGCGTGTAATAGCTTTGAGCATCGAGTCCGAACACAAAGCGTACAAGTCGGCGCCCGTGTAAGTTAGTGGAAGCCGATCAGCTACCCGGGCAAGAGAAAGATCCGGGGAAAGGGCGAATTTCCGTGTAAGCGCCTCCAGAATGGTTCTCTGCTTCTCGTGTGTATCGGAGACACCAAGATAGAGCATCTTATCAAAGCGACCTGGGCGTAAAAGCGCCGTATCCAGTAGATCGGGCCGATTGGTCGCGCCGATGACAAAGACACCACCACTGTTTTCTTCTCCGCCGTTCATTCCATCCAACTCGGCGAGAAGTTGACTCACAATGCGATCCATCACACCACCACTGTCACCTTGATTACCTCTCTTGGGGGCCACCGAGTCCAGCTCGTCAAAGAAGACAACACAGGGGCGAGCATCCCGGGCACGCTGAAAGACGCGTCGTACATTGGCTTCGGATTCACCGATGTACATGTTCAGGAGCTCAGGTCCCTTGACGGAGAAGAAGTTCAGCGAGAATTCGGTTGCAATGGCTTTGGCCAGAAGCGTCTTTCCGGTACCAGGCGGCCCATAGAACAAAATACCGCTACGCTTCTTCATGCCCTTGGCGAACAATTCAGGCCGTTCGAGCGGCAGTTGGATGGTCTCAACGAGCGCCTCTTTGACATTGGACAGGCCACCCACGTCCTCCCAGCTAACATTTGGAATCTTGGGGGCGCCGATGGAATCGGCAAAGTTCTTCCTCGCAGCGTCAACGGCGGTATCGAAATCAAGCTTTGTGACGCCTCGTGCCGCGTCGCCGCCAGAAATTAGGATATCGCGAATCCCAATCTTCTGGTTCGATTGCTTGCTCGATGCCTCCGCCAGTCTTTCCAAGCGTGCAGTTCTTGCAGACGACGCACGTTCGACCACGTCAATCAAATCACCAGCGACCAGGGCAGCGGTCTTCAGAGCCACTGACCCCAAATCAACATCAGGTGAAAGTCGAATGCCACGTTCTGAAACAGCATTGCGAAGAATACCTTCACGTTCCTTCTCCTCTGGTGCAGACATCTCGAATTCATGGGTGAACATACTTCGAAGGCCCTCGGGCATCTGTTCGACGTCCGTCGTAGTAGCGATAATCACCCGCGCATCGGCCACAATTTCAGCCATGGCCGACACTATGCGATCTGCAGTCAAGACTTCAATGTGTTTGATCAGTAGCGCAGTACAGTCGGCCCCGCAAAGGAAAGCACGTTCCGCTCTGGCTTTCAAGTATGCTTCGGTCTTGACATCGCCACCATTGGCACCACCTTCCGTAAGGATATCATAGGCATCAATTGGGAAGGTGTGCAAGCCGATGTCAGCACATGCACGTGTTGCAACTGTGGCCTTGCCAATGTGTCGTTGTTGGGATCTCAGGAGGATGACGACTGGCTTCATACCGAGCTGGATCGCACGAGGACTGGTGGCGACAGAAATCAGTTCTCGGAGGCGCTGCTGCAAAGGTGAGATGAATGATTGTGGAACGTCGGTCACCAAACCATGGCTCGTTTGCGCTTCAGTGGCAGCCTTGGGTACAGCTTTGACCCTAAGCCAATACTCCCAGCCATTATCTGTCGAGCCCGGTACCCTGCTGACGTCGCTCCCAGCTTGTACCATTCGGGTAGTGGCGGAGTCAATAACGGCCACTCCTCCCCATCGGTTGCCGCCGGCTTCATCCTGATCGTCCGGAACACTGGGGATAACCTGGCCAACACGGAACCATGCGACTCCGACCTTCTTAGACACGGCATGATCAGAATAAGACATCTGTCCTAGTCTCGTGGTCAGATCGTCTTCTTGGGCGTTAGCATCGCCGGTAGCTGCGCCTTGAAAAACGGCTCTGCCGAGGCCTTCATCGATGCTAATACCCACAAGGTCCCCGCCCTTCAAAAGTCTTCGACGAGATTCAAAGTATTGTTTGAGGCCAGCGAACAGGGCAGGTTGAAGAACACGGTCCATCGACAGAGGAGTCGAGATCTTCAGCAGCGTGACCTCCTTGGCCAGAGGCGGATTCCGAGCAACGCTGGACTTGACCTGGTGGAGTAGGTTGGGCTTCGCGCCATTCGATGTAGCGAAAGTCATCGGGGAGATGCGTAGATATTTTGGGTTGTCAAGATTGTTCAGAAGCAGTGGTGAAACGAAGACGGAGGTCATGCGCACAGTGGGAAGTTGAGAGACACTTGAGCGCCTGTTTCCCGTTTGGTTGATCGAGTATCGAGGTTTCGTAGATTGTAGGCCCGGCAATCCATAGATCTTGACCGCCCGCCAGTCGCCAGTGTCCTCTTCGCGGTCATTAAAGCTACCAAGCTTGATTGAGGCGAAAGGGTTGTGCTGGGGCTCCTCAGATGCCTCGATCCTCACCCAGTCACCCGAGAAACAGCCTATCTTGGCGAGCGTTCCGATGTCTACGAATATGAAAGACTCCGGATCGTCGTCTTCCCGTGGTCGGGGATGCAAAAGGTCGCCAGGCACCTGACGCAGGAGACCTTCTGTCTTAAACACTTTGCCACCGCTAACTCGACCGGGTCGCATGGTCGCAGAAGTGAAGTTTGATGCGACCGACCCAGGAGTATGAGTGCCGTCCAACCGACGCCCTCCAGCACGGGGCGTAGCAGTAGTCATAGCAGACATCACACCCGACGCTGGCTGAGGAAGCTCCGGAGCGGTTAGCGAAATCATATCCTCCAGAGAATCGTCCGATGTGTCACTCATGTTACCGCCCGAGGCATCAGTTTCCGACTCGTCGGCAGTAATACTACCTTCTACCTCGGTACTGCTCTCGATAGGCTTATCCTCAGCCGCAGAATAGAACTGTTCGTTAGAAGTATCATCGGCTTCATCTTCCGCTACTTGTTTGAGAAGGCCAGTGCCTGTTCGTAGGCTTCTTTGCGCCCGGTGACCGTGAGGCCGCGCATGAACCAGGACCACTTTAGTCGCGGGCATTAGTAGGCCCTGGGAGACCGGTTCGCAAAGCGCAATACGAGCAGGGGGTGATGGAGCATATGTAATGGGGTGCGGTGGTAAGGGGAGCGGCAGGACGTCACCAGTGTGCAGAACCTTCACGACTCCCAGGGCCTCGCGCACAGCAGCTGTAAGCCTTTCTTCATCCTCTGCTGCTGCTGCCTTCTTCGTGTATTTCTTGACTTCAGCGGCTTTCCCGCCCTTGGCCCACCCACCATTGGATGAGGTATTGTTGGAACTGAAGCCTCCTCCAAACTTGGTTTGAACATCATCATGATTCCGGAGAAGGTTCCGCTCTACTGTCACATAGACTGTATCCAGAGGCAAGGGCACAGCATCCAAGACCCGTATCTCAATCGCACGCTGTGACTGAAGGGGATGGCGGGTGGGATCCAATTTGCCTAGTTTCTCCAAGAATGGTTGTAAGGACAGGGCGGAGTCGGGGAAAAGGACGGTGGAGTGCGGAATTGGCGATTGATAAGAGCGATCTTTAGACTGCGGTCGCACGGGAATGATGGTCCAAGAGAGATCCTCGACCGAGGTGCAACCTGGGAACTGCGGTGAGATCGCAAGATAATAGTTCCCCATGTCATCTTGATTGTCCTCTGGAATACGCGTTACCAGTCAAAACACTGCAGATTGCGAAAATAGATCCTATTGAGCGGGGGACGGCTCGGTTTGACTTACTGCTGAAAAGGTCGCCGACCAGGTCATCGGACACAACACCAATGTTCCCACGCAGCTGATGATCCAAAGAAAGACGAGCAGAGATAGGGACCCTATTGCGCATGTGTCGACGCATCACGTTTCGTCGTCGTCGTCGCCTGGGTTGCTCTGAGCTGGGGTCGTGGTGGTCGTAATCCATGATGATGGCGCAGGTGGGTTCAATTGGAGCGGGGGAGCGACCGGGAGAGGGGCGGGAGGGGAAAGAATCGAAGGTCGTGAATTGAAGGATGAGAAGAATCCAGTCACCTCAGCATACTTCAAAGGAGCCACAATTGAGACAAACAGTCCCCTGGTGAGACAGCCCCGAGCTTAGATAGTGGTGCAGCAAGATAATGGCTGGCGGGAAGCTGGAGAAAGTCCGGGGAGGAAGACAACGAGGCCGTCCGAAGCTCGGCACCGCCCGCTCGTTCTGCCCTTTCCCGATGCCGAGGTTCACTGCACGAGGAGGTTTCCTCACTTTCGGGGGATGAACCCTTGCCATATGCCTACGGTGTAGAGTCCTGCGTACAAAATGAGCTTCCGACTTAGCATATTTCATGAATGTGGACCAAATCCTAAGCAAGGGCTGAGATTCACTGTATGTAAGCCAAATTCGGGCATCTAAAATATAAATATATATATAATGCTCCCAGAACCGTCTGGTGAGCCGACCATAAATTGTTTGCAGTACTTGTAGGTCGATGCGACACGACATCGCAGGTCGTGTGGAGAATGGTGCCGCAAAGGATTTGCGAGGGTGCTCTGCTTTGCCATACTGACTGAACCCTATAGTTATAGACCAACGAGCTTGACGACTGATTCCTCTCTGACATGGTCACCTTATCTTCGAGCTATAGCCATCATACTAAGTACGGAGTAGGTACCTCTCCTCGAGCTCATTCGAACTAGCAACCTTCTAAGCATAGCACACCGCCATGATTTGCAGAGCTACAGACCAACCAAGCCAGGGCGGCACTCTGAATCAAATATTTCAAAGGCAACGACCTAAGTAGATATATAAGCGGATTACGGAGTTAAGAATAGTTCGTACACGCGAGACTGAAGGGCCTGATAAGATCTTTTGTTGGTTGCAAGACGAGCGCCAATTGAACCAATGCGTTCGCAGTGAAATGTTGTAGCCTTGACAGCTTGCGCGGCGGACTGATCTCATGCAGGCCGTCGTCACTACAATGAGGCTCATACACGAGAATGACTCCAGGGCTGCAGTCTTGTTTTGCGTAGGTGGCTTCCTGTCATTTGGGGCTCGAGGTACATCTGGTGAGGTGGCATTTGCGGGAATCGCGGTGCTCGAAGGACTTGATTGGTAGAATATTAAACAGTAGGTGAGTCGAATTGACTTCAGGTACGGAATATTCCGTAGTGAAACTATGAACAACGTCCAATTTGGTGGCCTGGATTGCAATAGAGTGCGCTCACTTCTTTCATTGAAACGATTCATTCAGTCCTCAAGTCAACGTGGCCGGGTTGACAGCCCTTAAAACTGCCGGACCTGCAATGATGACACCTCCGACCAGGTGATAAGGCTGACGTGGAGAAACTCGTTACTTGTTTGGTTCAATCGGCCTCAATAACTCAAAATGGGTTGGAAATTTTCTACTATGTAAGTTCCAAACTTTACCCATAACACTCACCTCTTTCATTTTTCACTGGTTGGATGGAAAAGGTCTCGTCCGTACCAGAAATAAAAGATCGAAAATGCAGATAATTTCCTCGCCCTAGGGCGCCGCGCAACGGTCGCTCTCGATGCGTCCCCAGCAGTCCCAGGGGTCTTTGTCTGACTGGGCCGCGCGCTATCAGAGAGCGCCCGAGGGCTAAATTTAATCGGGAAATTAGGAATAAGCAGGATGCCGCTGACAGTGGTTGAGCATAATTTATCATTCCGTCATATGATGAGCACCTGATTGTCTGAAGGAGTTTCGCTGGCAAATCTGTGTTGTTATTATGAGCTTTTTGAATACCCACTGCATTGGTTCCTTTTTCATGAGTACTTAGTAACTTACCGTAGTTATGCAACGGATGACAGGTAGTGGAAAAGAGCCCCCTTGGCAGAAAGAACTGCTGCCCCGTCCACCTCTTACGCTTGCACTAACGCTGCTTGGAGACTTGGCGAGAGAAGCAGAAACGGTAAGGAGAAGAGCCAAAGAGGAAAAAGCCAAAGACAAGATCGCTGGATGGGGTCACTCGAGGGTCCGCAGACTATTTTCGGAAAGGCCGGCTTCCGCGGGAACCCGCTCATGAGAGAACATGAGAGAATATTCTGGGCCCCCTGAATGGCCAACTGGGAAAAGTGCACCCCGGTGGAAATAAACCTAACGTGGACGGGACTAAACCGCCCCGAAACCCCGACCTCAACTGGAATACGTGAAATACAGGTATTGCATTGGTTATATTTCAGAGTCACATGTCATTGCACATAGAAAAAGAGGACGCCTAGACAGTATGAGCCATTACCGAGTATCTCCGGCCGAAACGAGTGCCGTGGCTGTGGAGGAGATCCAAGCCCCCGCTCACAGCCAATCACTTACTGTTAATGGGGAGACTCCAGGCACCTTTCCTCTTCGAGTATGGTCTGGCTCGTCTATCAGGCAGACATCCAAGAAGACGCGGACTGAGACTCAGCCCGGTGGAAACAGCCTCATTCTTACTCTCCGTCTACTCCTTGTACGTACCCCCGTTCCTCGACTTGAGTCGTCTCTCCGTACTTCGTTGACTCTTCCTTTCCACTTCATCTCCGCTATTATTCCTCCCTCGTCCCCCCTCCAACTGTCAGCCTATCTCTCTCCTAAACTAGACTCGTTACCTGAATATACACATTTACCTGTCACCAACCTCTCTTGTTGTTTTGCTTGTCTTGTTGGTCCCGTTTAGTGAAAGGGGTGGTGCTTGCTTGATCGCATTATCAGCCTGGGGCATTCCATCATCCACCGACCCCCCTCTCCCTCCCCTTTAGGAGACCTCCGTAAAGCTGACATTTCTCGACCACCGCCGGTGCGTGACGGTTTTATTTTTTTTCTTCTTTTATAACCTGGTGGAATGGCTTCAGCAACTAACATCTCTCCAGTAAATAACTTATTGATCTCCGCTTTGGCTCCATACGTCACTGCGGTCGCATCGCAGTTCCGACTCGCAATTCTATCCAGGCATAAACAGTGAGTCTGGATAGTGATGGGGCATGAATGACGTGGTTTAACTCCTAAGAAGTATTTATACCTCACAACAACCCTTATAATTTTCTTCGACCCTTCATTCGTCAACGATAATGTCGACCTCCGACACCATGACGTCCCGACATCCCCGTCGTGGGCGGGTTATCAATGCACTTCCACCGTCTTTACTCGCCTCTTCAGAGACGCCGTCAGCTCCTCGATCCCGTCTTCGTATGAAGAAGGGAGACACCTTCCACTACACTACCACTTCGCCCTCGGACGGCCTACTCCTCAATCTCCCACTTTTGCCTCGCTCTCCGACTTCTCCCGGAGCCCTCGAAGCTATCGCAGCCGGTCAGGAACGCATGTCTAAGATCTTAGGTCGTATCGAAAACGGTTCTTTCCGTACTCGTGGCCGGTTCGATGAGGATGATAAATCTTCTGATTCCGAGGATAGCCTGGAGGCCCATTTTCAGCGGTTGAAGTTGAGCAAGGAGGATCTGGACAAACGATTTGCGAAGAAGAACCGACGGACACATTGCCACGCTTCCGATAGTGGGCTCGGAACTTCGATCAGTAGCCGTCAGTCTACGTCTTCTAAACAAGGTTGGTTGCTATTGTCCATGGTATCTGGCGTTGGGACATATCTGACCAGTCATATAGAGAAAGCTGGCAAATCGGCCTCCAAATCCCAGGCTCTGTCTGCCGTCCTAAGCTCAATGCATCCTGCCGAAAATGAGGCTACACCCAAGCAGAAGCTTAGCCCCGCGTCATGCTTGGAAATTGAGAATCGCATCTTGACACCTCTTCTGGGAATGGAGCCATGCAAGCCCTTCCGTCACGTCGTGGAGGGTGCTCGTCAACAGATGGAAAGCGATAAGTTTAGGACTCTGCGTGATCTTGAGAAGGCGCTGCTCTACGTAGCTGCAGTAAGTCTCCTGTACCTTGGTCCCAGGATCGACGCTTATGCTTATGTCTCTGTACAGGATGTCGAGGCCGAACTCAGCTTCTACTATCAATTCTGCAACTCCACCATCTTGTGTCTGCACGAGACCTACACCACTGTCGACCCTCGTGACTTGTGCATGCCGACCGATCGCCCCTACAGCAACTCTTACTTCCTCGATCTGACCGCTCAAGTCCACCGTTTCAAGGCCATGAGGGATGAGGCTCGTAAGAATAAGAAGGAGATGTGAGTGTGCCTTCCAAATTGAACAAAGTAGCATTTGACTAACCCATTATAGGCCGAGGCTTGTTGTGGAGGGTGGTATGGCCGACACAGGGCGTCCACTTGAGCTTGTGGTCGAGAAGGATGGCGAGATGATATCACTGGAAAGTGGAAAACCCTTCGACGCGCATGCCGTTCCTGTGGTGAAGCGAGCCCTGAGTCTGGGAGCCACTGATGAGGGCGCCAGGCGGTCCATGGCCCGGCGCAAGAAGAACGCCCCTCCCATGAACATCAACACAAAATGCTCCCACTGCGATAAGATATTTCAAAGACCCTGTGATTTAACGTGAGTGTCGATATTATTTGCATGCAGATTGTGATTGCTGACTTCATATCTAGCAAACATGAGAAGACTCATTCACGACCGTTCAAATGCCCGTTCGAAGGATGCAAGTATTACGAGCTTGGCTGGCCCACCGAGAAGGAAAACGAGCGCCATATCAATGATCGCCACTCGGCCACTCCTCGCATGTATGCCTGCACTTTCAATGGTTGCTCGTACAAGTCCAAGCGCGAGAGTAACTGCAAGCAGCACATGGAGAAAGCCCATGGATGGAACTATGTGCGCGCGAAGAACAACGGACGCAACGCCAAGCGCCGTCCCTCACCTGTACAAGCCAGCCCTGGTCAGGAGAGTGTCGCCCAGCTGAGCCCGCAGCAACTGAGTCCCGGCCAAGCTAGCTCCGTTAATCTGGCACCGTCTCAGATGACCCCTCTGCAGATGAGCCCTGACCACATGAGCTCACTTCCAATGATCCCGGACCACCTGGATTCCCTGCAAATGACCCCGGAGCACTACAGCCCGGAGCACTACAGCCCGGAGAACTACAGCCCTGAGCACTACACTCCGGAGCAGTATAGCCCATCTAACCAGATGCACTCTGTGCAATTGAGCCCTGCTCCAATCAGCTCCGGGCAACTTAGTCCGGCGCAAGCGAGCCACACTCAAGCTAGCACTCCCGCATCTGGCCCAATCCAGTCGCCGACCGGGTTTTTGAACAATTATGCGCAAAGCCAGATGTTTCAGCTTCAAGACCCCTTCACTCAGTTGAAGAACGAGGACTGCCTCTTGTACATGGACAATGACTTTGCCAACGACTTTGCCACGTTCAACAACGGAACGTCTGGCTTCTTTGAAGATGCTTCCTTCGGCTACACAGACCCCATGTACCAGCCGGGACCAGTCGATATGAGTGCAATTGAAGCCTTGTGCGACGATCCTTACATGAACAATGTGTTCATGGACACTTTCGGCACTGGGACTGGCACCGATGAGAGCATGTTCCCGACCTTCAGTCAAGGCGGCATGCCTCAATTTTAGATCTCCGCCCTGGGGGTCCTGGTTTGACGTTTTAAAAAGAATGAGTATTTCTGTCTTCTCTCTTACCTATCCACCTCCTTGCCTACGCAAGTGCGGGACATTTCTATCTAGCCTTTCTAGCCTGTTATCTTCGTTCTTTTCTTTCCAGAGTGGTTGTATCATACATCCGAGATTTGTCACGTCTCCGTTTATTCCTTTCTCTCATACTAGTTACGGAAATAGTTGAGATTTGAAATTGCACACTTGGATCCATATCCGTTGATGACTTGGTATGAGCTATGGTGATACTCCGCATACGCAATATAAGTTAACCTCTAAAGACACTGTAGTATAAGCGCAATCTATTCCAGGTCGAGGCATAGGCGTCTCCAGAGGTCCATAAGTGTGCTAATAGGAAGAACATAGAGTGACCCTATCTCGAACCCGATGTCTTTCGAATTAGAGCCATATTTAATAGGCCCCTCAGTTACGATGATCGTTCTCAAAGGAGATGAGCGACAACTCTAGTGGTATCATCGCTAATCAAGGCTCAGAGCCTGGGCCATGAGGCTCCCCCCACTTTCCATCTCCAACCACCATCAACCATGACGATCCCCGAGGAAATAGCCCCAGCCGCCAAAGCACCGCCCAAATGGAAGGTCTGTACAAGGAAACTGAGAACTCTACGGCGCCTCTTCCGATCTTGCAGTATTCCAATCCGCCGCCGGCCTCCAACTAGCGTAACTAACCCCGCACCTTTCCCATTCCTCCGCCTTCCGCGGGAGCTCCGCGACCAGATCTACCGCGAGCTGCTAATCGTCGACGACAACAAAAACAACAACAACAACAACAACAACAAGAACAAGAACAACAACAACAACGAGGACGGCGACAACGGAGGAGCCCTATGGTTCCGCTACAGCCGCCGCCAACAACGCTGGTGGGACGCGACGCCCTACTGCCCGGCGGGCGGGGGGCCGCGCCGCCCTCGACCGCGCCTGACCCTCGGCCTGCTGCGGGTCTGCCAGCGCGTGCGCCAGGAAACGCTGCCGATGGTGTTCGCGCACAACCAAATCTGGCTGGACGCGTCGCCGGCGCGCTGCCTGGCCCTCCTCGCCTCTCTGCCCGGCTCGGTCTCCTGGGGCATCCGCCACCTCCAGCTGTGGCTGGATGTGTACCTGGACTGCGGGACGGCGACGGGGACGCTGCCGCTGCCGCACCAGACGCCCGACGCGCGCCGCGCTCCAGGAGTTGCGGCGCGAGCTGCGGCGGTCGTCCGGGTTTGAGGAGGTGGCGGTGCGATGGGAGCATTGCTTCTTTTTGTGCAGTGGTTGCGAGCAGTTTCCTACCACTAGCTTGGGGATTGTGTTGCAGCGGCAGCGGAGAGAGCGACAGGATGATGATGATGAAGGGGCGCAGGGGGATCTGGTGGTGGGTGCGGCGTTGCCTGACTATCGGCCGGTTTACACCCTGCAGGATATAGTGTTTCCGATGGTTTGTGGACTTGGGGAGCCGCGGCCGCCGCCGTCGCCGGATAATTGTCGTTGAGGTTGATGCTGTGTGGTGCTTGGGGGTTTATAGGTTCAGGGGGAATGGGTGCGGTGCGCCCCTCGTAGAGCATCCTCTGCTACGATAAAAGGACCGAAGGACTCTGTCGGGTGTCCTGAACCTTCTCCCAAACATATTGCCCTACCTATGAAGCTTGCCTTGAGATTTGTATCTGCTTGACATCACGTAGGGGTAAAGCCTAATGACAGTGTTTTAGACCGATGGCAACTAAGTCATTGAGCACTGTATCCACATGAAGAAAACTCGTTAGAAAGGAGTGACACCCCTTCCAGCCTAAGTATACCTAGGGGTATACATGTCAAGCCTCGGAGTCTATCTCACATCCAATTCTTGACTGTACTGTGCTTGCGGCCCCGGTTTTCCTCCGGGTGAGGCCGCCATCTTTGGTAGACAGAAGACCATCAGGAGGGGATGTATAAAACCCATGGCGCAGAAGGGAACATGATGTCCTCTCTTCGGTCTTATTCATACTCTGAGACCGCTGAGCCGGCACCGCATCAGAATGATTGGCCTGCGTCAGCTCCTCCTTCTCGTCGCGGGCAGGCTGCCAGCTAGTAGGTTAGCGGTGGAGCTGGTCCTGGCCATCAGGACCGGGGGCGCGCATGCGGCTGGCCTGGACGCTGGACGCGGGGCGCTGCGGGGCGGCGGGCCCGAGGGGTTTACCGCTGCACCACCGCCCTGCGGGCCTTCCCGCAGCCGCCGGGCCCGGTCTACTAGGTGTGTACATCCTATACTATGTAGTGCCATGCCCCTGACACCATTCACGCCCAAATATTCCTCTGGAATCCTTCATCCAGTCTTGCAGTAATTTGGCAGTTTGTACATTACATTCCACCGATTTCTCCTCTTCTTCCCTTTCTCCACACCCCACCACTATTACTAGCCCGTCATGTAGAACACACCTCATTGTAGACAATCGGAAACTTCTCTCTTCACTTCATTTCTTGCCGCCCTCCAAGCTTTTGGTCAGCTCATCTATTCCCTGACCATTCTTCATGATGCGGTCCTGCGAGTAGCGAAGCCCTGCATCAGCACGAACCACCAAAGAAATCGAGCCAGACTCCGAACCCCCCCCCCCCCCCCCCATCATACCAAGCCACATTTAAAACCCCAGCAACAAAGGAGGAACCGAATAAAAAAAGAAACATACTAACAACCCAACCGGACACCAGCGGGCCAGCAACCGCGCAGCGGCACTATTAGGCCCTTCCAGACCAACCCGGCAGGCAGCGTCTCCGCGAGCACGACATCTTCAACCAGAACCTTAGCGAATTCATCGGGGGAGGACCCATTCCGAGGCCCGGCGCGGCCCGTAGCCCAGTCGGCAATAATGCGGCGGATGGGCGCGTACCACGACGCGGGCGGCAGGAGGACCTCGGGCTCGTTGGCGTGGAAGGCGGTGGCGACGGTGCCGGCCATGACGCAGACGACGCCGACCCCGCAGGGCTGGAGTTCCAGGCGCAGGGTCTCGGACAGCTGGACGAGGGCGGCCTTGGAGGAGGCATACACGCCAATCCAGGGGGTGGGGACGACGGCGCCGACGCTGCTCAGGTTGACGATGCGGCCGCGCGCGGCGACCAGCAGCGGCTGGAACGCCTGGATCAGCTGCAGGGGGCCCCAGACGTTGGCCTCGTAGACCGCCCGCGCCCGCGCGAGGTCCGCCTCCGCCAGCGGCATCGTGTACCCCGTCCCCGCGTTGTTGATGAGCACGTCCAGTCCTCGGTGGTTGCCGCTTGTGCTGGTGTGCTCGGTGACGGAGTGCACGGCGGCGGCGATGGAGGCCGCGTCCGTCACGTCTAGGGCTAACACGTGCACGTTGGCTTGCTCGCGCAGCTCCGCGGGGATCTTGCTGGGCGTGCGCGCCGTCGCGAAGAGCACGTGGCCCTCTTGGGCGAGCTGCTGGGCTAGGGCGGCGCCGATCCCCTGCGCGGAGCAGCCGGTGATCAGGATGGTTTTGGGCGGGCTTGGGGGCATTGTGACCTCGAGGGTGGGCTTAGGGGGAGGGGGGGGGGGGAACTTGGACTGGGGGGGGGGTGGGGGGGGGGGGGGGGGGTGAACTTGGACTTGTGGATGGTGGATGGAGTCAATGGGGTTGGTACCTTGCGGCGAGGGGTTCGTTCATACGGGAGACCATGCTATCACACATGGCAGCAGATTCAATGAGAGCAGGGGGGAGAGATCCAGAAGAAAAAGGTTAATGAAAGTGGAAACAAAGAAGTCAAGTGTTGTGGTCAACCGGGAAGACCAAAGTACGGAGCATGCAATCCCACAGAGTGACACCAGGGTGTGAGGGTGCAAAGCATTGCTTGGGGAGAGTAAGCACTAATTACTAACTACCAAGCCCTAAGCGGGCTACAACTGTACTGTACAGTACGTCCTAGGCACAGTACATAGGATTTGATCGATTAGACACCTGGCAGGGGTTCAATCCATTCATAGACAAGCTAAGACGGGGCCAGAGGCCTGAGTTGGGCCTAGTATTGGTTATCTGGTTATCTAGACACTTGCTTTTGTACTACGAATGATGCCTTTTTGTTGCTTAAGATATTTGCTTATCCTGCATCTGGTGAGCGTCAAAAGTAAGAGGACAGGAACCAAGGACATCAAGATCATCTGGGATGTCGTAATTAACTAATCGTAATCACCACTCAGCCTTGAAAGCTTAGAGAGGTTTTAGGTCCGATACGTTCACCACATGATACATTCACTAAGCTTGCACCTGGCTGATGAATTCCTCCTGCGACTCCATTCACCGACAATGCAGCCGTCCGCCACAATTCCCTGATCAGAGATACTTGCCTTATGCAATATAGTTAGTACTTTCTATTATTCTCTCGCTTGTAGAACCTTTTCAGATTTGATCTTTGTTTACGGCCTGGACTTGTATTCGGACTTTTACTACCTCAACCTTATGTTAGGTGAATTCCTAAATAAAGCTATCTACCCTATCTATATTGCTTTAAGGGCTGTTGTTCCTTCAAAAAAATATAATTCTCTTTTAGGCTAATTCTAAGCCTATGTTATTATCTTTATTAACTACTTTTGTAAATACAGCTGGCTGAAGAAGTAACTTGAAATCTCGCTCCTGAGTCTAACCAACTTAAAATTCTTATACTACTACATCTCTTTTATCTTTTGAGTTTTCAGTATCATATTAACTGACTTGATTTTTCCCCAGTACATCTTTCTTATCGTTTTCTATATTACTACTGGGAACTTCCTCAACGAGACTTAGTCTATATAAGAAGCTTGACTATTTACTTCAAAAGAGGACAACCTGTTTTCTGATCTTCATTCTGTTCTCGATCTTCTTCGAATTCTAGTCTTGAGACATGGCCATCCCTGGCGTCTCGCCTCCCAAGCCATTCCGCGATCTGAAAGATCTAAGCCGGAAAGTCATAGCAGTCCAAGCTCGTCTTCAACAACAGGAAGACCTCAGCTAATACCCCTCCCTCAAGCAAAGTCAACGCTTCACGCTTCCAATACCTTGATCACAACAGAACCCGGCTTGGGAGCAGCCGTGACGCTTACCCCGATTGCCGACATCGAAATCCTTATCATCAAAGTCGTCACGCACGAGCAGGAGGTGAGCCACCGCGAGATCGGGCATATAGTCTCCACGGGGTCAAGCGCAAATGATGTTGTTGCTCGGGGTTTCACGATCCGCGAAGGAAATTCGGATCGAGAGATACTGTGCACCAGGTCACAGGTCGTGACAGGGCCGGCCTAGTCACAGTCCAGATTCGAGATTCTCAACACTGATCAAATGCAAGATACCCCCGGCTCGGTGATTGGCACCGTGCCGCTTATCCTGGAGCTCTCGCGCATTCTAGGAAGGCCCCCAATCGCGCCAGGTCTCGCTCAATCGCGCCAGAGCGAGACCTCGTGCTCTTCTACGGGGTAGCGAGGGTCAGACAGTTCGATTCAATCCTCGGGAGGTGGAGATTTGGGAGGAGAAACAGGTCAAAAGATACGGTTGTTGATGCGATCCAATGGTTTTTCTCCTCTTGTTGATGAGGAGGAGGAGGAGGAGGAGGAGGAGGAGGAAGAAGTGGAAGAGGATGATGGTGCTGATTGCTTTGATCTAGCCCTAGAGCAGAGACTGTGATTAAGAGCTCCACTTCGAATTCGATCAGTTGTTCCATCAGAGCATATCGTGTCTTCCCCTGAACTCAAGATCGGCCACCATGCGGCTGGAGCGCAAGATAAGCTAATATCTTGAAAAACAGTATAATAATGATTCTCAGTGCAAACGCAGGGTGTAAATACATAAATAAACAATACGATGTGATATCCTCGAATTATTGGAGTCCCGCTGCGAGTATTCCGAAACCTGAGTATACCACCGAACTATCATCGATCTCCCTGCACCTTGAAATCAAAGTAGGAAGGCCACCATTCTCATCTCATTTGACCGTGATATAACAGCTGATCCAAGACGTCCAAATGAGTGTATCCCGGGATATGGACAACCAGACTTGTGAGGAGTTCTTTAAGTACTCTACTAGGCCCACCTCCGCTACCGCCGTATCCTCAAGTCATCGACGCGACCTGTGCTTTGCGGCCAGCCTCTCTGCCTCCCGATTGCGCTGTTCTGGCTTGCGGGGACACCGACGGCCCCCTCCACCACCCACTGGATCGTGCCCATCTCCTGGCCGGGATCCCGTTCGGCTACGGCTGCGTCTGGGTCTCCACTGGGCGGCTTCGGTCCCGGCGTTCATGGTTTTGGTCTGCGTGCGGAGTCGATTCCGTGGTTGTTCTATACCTATGGGGCTGGATCCGCAAGCGACGTCCTTGGCTGGAGATGTGTCATGCATACCACCCAGCTGTATTTGCATTACAACTTAGACCTGAGCGGCACTATCATGCTATGGCTGCAGATGAAAGCTTCAGTTGGCGGCACAATGCCTCACATGTAACCAAGTCTATTTGGAACGGGTGAGATCACCACAGGTTGCATCAACCACAAGGCAAGTAGAATGTAGGTGAAATTAAATTCGGCGTAAATGGAAATCTCATGCCGAGATATCAGATATCAGCACAAATAAAGCCAGCAGCAAAGGCAGGAAGGCGAGCATGCAACCATGCGGATCACCACACCAAATGACAAATGAGGCACAACCCACCGTCCTTATTCTCGGCTAGAAGCGCAGTGCTTGTCCAGAGCGCCAAGTTTCTTCCCTCGTATATATCAACCTTTCCATGGAAAACAGTTCATGCAATAAAGCCAAATGTGAGATACGATCGAAAAGAACTTTCCGTAAATGTCCCCGACGCCTCACGCTCCCATTTCTTTGACGATCCACGCCCACGCCACAATACAATGACTTAGACCTTTGAGATGTTTATGGCACGTAGAATATCCTCCAAAGACCAGCCGGGGCCTCCGGGCACAATCTCCGCCCAAACCTCTTCGGGAACCGCATCCTCGGGATCGAGCAGGCTCCAATTCGGGCTTGGCTCGGGCTTGATCCATTTGAAGTCCTCGACCTCACTCCAGCGGTCTTCGTCGTCGGGCCGATCGTGGTTCAATGTCTGTGTGTCGTGGGTGGTTAGACTAGTGCTTACAGCAAGATGAGATGATTTGGAAATACTCACATAGATGCGGGGTATGCGACCGAATCGGATGTTGGTGCAGTCTTCAATGATAGGATTGCTGGACGCACTCAGGTAGACGTCCACATTGGAGCAGTTGTGCATACGGAACTGGCGACAATCCACCACCACGATACTATGCTCCACGTCAGTGATGTGAGCGGGGCCATTGATCTGTCCGCAGACCAGTAGGCTCTCCTTCACGTTCTTCGCGGTGAGACTAGCGTAGGGCTTGCCGTTGACAGTCGGTATTGACATGTCGACCACGCAGTGGCGCAGCGAGGTGATAGATGCGGGTACGTTGGCTGTAGACCCCGAGGATGGCAGCATGATGTGGAGGTTGTGATGGTTATTCACGGACACGGAGGTAATAGCGGTGGCTGCGAAGCCATGGGGCTGCTCCGGCGGCTTGAGTTTATCATCCGCTCCCTCGTCGACCGGGATAGCTGGAATCGATGTGGGGGCAATCTCCGGCCGTTGCAGAAGGTGCAGCCGGTTGTCGGGCTCATTGAGCGGAGTCGACGGATACATCGGGGTTTGAGCGGCGGAGGAGCCCACGGAGGACGAGCCGGGCGAGGCGAATCCGGGGATACTGCGTACCTGCGCAGCCATTTGTGCCGCATCAGAGAGAGAGATGGCCGAGGCATTCTTCTTAGTCTTGAAACTGAACTTGGGGCGCGGTTCCACGGCAGTGCGGGTCTCGACTAGTTTGTCCTGCAGTGCTTTGATAGCCTGTATACCACCGTTGATCAGCCTTGCACTTTCACCCTCGACATAAAGTAACAGCCTACTTCTGCGTATATCCGCTGATCGTAGGTGGGAATGTAGCTAGCCGCATCTTTGACTTCATTGGACAAGCGCGCAATACCGGCCAGACAGTGATCGGTTGCATCCGTCCGCTCTCCCCCTATCAGGGAAGTATCTGCCAACCGATCCATCTGTTCCTGAAGGGCTGCAGCAAGCACACGTGTCAGACTCTTTCCCCTTGCCAAAAGGCCAGTTCGCAGGACATCAATAAAGTTGACTAAGCCATACCGGTGATCTCATGCTGAAAATAGCGGAAAAATCGCTCCTTCAATGGTATCTCGGACTTAAGGATCGTCTGGTTCTCGGCCTGAGAGGGCCGTCGAGAAGTGTCGAAATCAGGCATAGACATGGTGGATACAGAGATACAATCGATGGCAAGGGAAGATGGAAGAAGGGGGAAAAAGGAACAGAGGAAGAACGGAGAAGGGAGACTGAGGGTTGCAGATTGACAGAGGGGGGGGATGCCCGTAGGAGGAATTGGAGACAGAAGAAATGTATTGATGACGTCGACCGATCTTCTGTTTCCCAAGCCGGTTTGGGATATGGGGGTTTAAAGGTCGCTTTTTCAACGCAACTTCGCTGGGGACGAGGATATTTCGCCCAGGCCAACAACAGAGGATAAGAGTCTAAGATCAGGAGAGAAAATCGTCAGTTCCAGAAGGCCCATGCAATGGCAGGCAACTAAGTCAGTCCACCTCGACCGGGGCGCTTTTTCATGGCCGGGGTCGATCAGCCGGCGCGATCCACTAGTGGCAATCTGAGGGGAAAGCTCAGGCTACTCAGGGTAGATGAAATAAAATAGTAACAACCCACCTAGATCCGAATGGGAACATATGCAGCACACGGAAGCTTTGAGTAACTGTCCCGATGTCTTGGTGCAGCTGGAGCACTTAGCTTTCGTTCCAAGTTGTCTTGCTCGTTGTCTGATGAGGAGATGAGGAGAAGCCCAGGTGGTGACGTCGCTTACAATCGGGTCCCGGCGATTAACTTCTCCGCTTTCCCCGCACTATCCCCCTTTGGGGCCATGGTGCCTGGGGCAAAGTCAGGCCACCACCACTCATCTATGAGTAGCAAGGTGCCGGCAATTGGATGCTGTGTATTAGTTATTGTATATTATTTTTCATCACACATAAGTACATACGCTGTCTGCAGCGCTACAGACCAGACACCCAACGCCGACATCATAGAACGTACAGACTCCCTGGACTTAGACCTCACCCTCCGTCAATCTTCTCTTATGTTGATGACAGCTCAGGTAGGTCTGGTCGAGGAATTGAGGGTAGGCCATCGATCTCTGCCACCAGCTCATGGGATAATAATGAATGCCGTCTGCGCTGTGTTTGAAAGTCGGCAACAAGCGGTCTTTCGACTACCAGCCGATCATAGTCGGGTCGCAGGTCATAATCACTGACACTTTCAATGCCCCCCTGCATTCGCACGGTCCTCAGAATCAACTTGCCCGTCTTCACCCAGAATGCCAACATTTCATACTCCTGAGGAAACGCCAGTGCGAGTTGTCCGGGCCGAAATACCGCTGGATTCATCTTGTACGACGCCTTTTTCAACCGCGAGCGATTGAGGCCGCCAGAGGCCTTCGCATCGCATAGATAGATATCGCACATGCCATTCGCGATTATGAAGCGAGAGCCGGATGGTGACTGTGCTGCATGTACGATTCGTGTACTGAACGGATCGTTGGTGATTTTGTTGTCCGTCATGGAAAATGACAAGGGATATTCCTTGCCGAAGAATGCGGTCAAAAATACCGCATGATGAGAGGTATCGTAGTACACGCCAGTCAGATCCCCATCATTCGTCGTCCACTAGTGGATATCAGTAAGCCATGAAGTGTCAGATGTAGGGCTAAACGGGCAGACGCACAGCAGGAAGCTTGAAAGACTTGGAGCTATCAGGGACTATATTCCATTGCTGGAACGTGCAATTCCACACATCGACATAAGCGTAGTGATCACCCAGATGGGTAGCAATCACAAAGTGTTTGCCATCGGCAGAGAATTGAAGCTTCCTTTCGATCACAGCCTCTTGTCGCTGGGCCTCGAAGCCAGACTCTTTAGCACCAGAGAACGAGCCCATCAAGAATCGGTTGCCCAAGTCCGATACGCGGTCCATTCCACTGCCGAGGGAGACTCTCTGGATCGTCCTGGTGCAAATTTCATAAACGCGAACTTGGTCTTTGAGCGTGAAGGCAACATATCTATCGTTACGAGACATGACCATACAACCTATTGGTAGTGATTGGTGATCAGTCTCAATTGTCAAATATGCTTCTGGGATATCACTGTCGTTTTCAAATACAAGGAGCTCGTAATGCTGAGTTCCTGTCAGCACTAGCCCAAGATTCGCGATGCAAGCTACTTACCTGTCCTACTGAAGCGATGACGGCACATCGTTGATCTCCTGCTGCAGCTTGTTGCACGCCCGGAATGTCATACTTGTGACTCTTTGGCTTCTTGCCCTCGCCCTGGCCTAGTTCAAATCGCATGACCCAGTTACTTCCGGCACCCCAGAAGAGCAGACAGCTCCCAGTGGCCGAGAAACAAAACCGGGGCTGACGAGGTAATTGCTGTCCTTTCGAAGAATTCCTCCGGAAAAGTGACGTCCCGCTCGAGAAGGGTATCTTCACATTTTTGAGATCACGGGAAAGAGTCTTGATTGCTTGCTTATCGAATGACTGGTCGGTCCGACTGCGCGATAGGACGGGATTGAAGATTTCTGAAGTCGTGACACTAGGAGTCTTGCCATTTGCTTTCGAAACGGCTGTCACAGGAGGTGTTGGTGAGGTCGGACTTTTCACTATCTCCACCGAGTCAAGGCGGGATGAGTGGCTTGTAGAATGGCTGAGCGAGCTCGAACATGAAGTGGTCGCTCGAGAAGCAGAGTCGGGAAGGGACGGCTGCCCCTCGCCATCCGAGTCCGAGAAGAGATGTAGGGCATCAGAAACCTGTTCGAGAGGCTCTATCATACGAGCATGTTGGATGCGTGCTTTGCCAGGACATAAAGGGCATGTGACATCCATGGTTAGAAAGTCGGGGCTTCCTTGGAATTGCTAACAAAGAATCAGCTTCTATGTCTAACCCTACCTCAATTGTTGCGAGCATAGCATACCTCATAAGCCTTCCGATCATGGCTTCTCAATTGTTCTTCCAACATGGCTCCCGGCACAGGATGCACCGCAGGACAGTTGACGACGTAGACCGCCGTGCTAGGACGGCCTTTTCTGATCGGTGCAGTGGGGTCGAAGTCGGCAGGCGATGAATTTTGCAACCATTGAGTCAAATGCTGTTGATAATCATGCGAAAATGCTTCGAGTTCACCATTGCAATCCCACATCTGCACCCGCCGGTTGATGAGCCAACGAACAAACTGGCCCAGGGCCCGCTCCCATGATTCCCGAATCCCGGCGAGCTGCGACCAAGTATCTCGAATCCTTCGTGTCTGTAGCGGAGGAGTATCATCGGCCGTCTGTGTTAGAATAATGGTGGCGAAAATCTGAAGTGGCGCCGTATTGAATTCATCATCGTAGGCCGCCAGTACCGTTCGAGTCAACTTCTTCTTAACTTCTTGTGCTTGCTTGAAGGCCTCGTCTACTTTCAGCGCTGCGGAACTCGTATATCCTTGCTCTTGGGAAATTCGACGGCGATCTATGTGACACTGAACAAGGGCAGAATCTACTGCCCAGAGGACGTCGAGGAGTAAATTGAATGAAACCAGTTGATCGGCATTGTTTTTCATTAATCCTGTCAGGAGGTCTGTGATGAGGGTCTCCGGCGCTCCCGAAACTGGATACTGTAGACGCCGTGAGCCTTTATTTTGGAATCGGGATAGCAGCCGAATAGGCGCACTTACCAGTCCTGCGGCGAACGACGGCAGGTAGGGTTTTCCACGATCGATTGTAAGAGTTTGAGTCGCTGACAGCTCAGTCGAGCCGATAGAGTCAATTGCTTTGGGGAGAAGATCACTAATAAGAAACCGCTCAACATTTGAAAGGTCCGAGTTCCGCCAAGCAGCTCGCATCGCTTTTTCGAATCGAAACTTCTTATCCGTGTGAATGGGTTCTCCGCGCAGCAGCAGGACTCGAGCACCGGCGAGTAGAGTATGTGCGATGAGATGTCGGTAGCCGACGAGTTCTGGATCGGTAGATCGGTTGCAAGGGAAAAGCTCGAGCTTCACCTTCAGCAGGTACATCAATGTCGAGAAGACGGTCTCTGAAGGCAGAAGGTAAGGAAGGAAGTAGGGGTGGCATTCGTGGACACTCGCCAGGCCCTGAAGGTAGGTTCGTTGCGCATCGAAGATGGTCTTAATCCAGAAAACAGTTCGGGTTAGTGGTTCTATGGAGGCGGATTGGCCGTCCGGCTGAGATACTGCGATGTCTAGCACATGCTCGCCAATAATCTCGCGAAGGATATTTGCTAGATCACGGCGCCCTAGCTGTTCCCACACGGCTGCCACCAGTGGATGTGACATGGAGGAAACAGGGGTGACAGGCCTCGGACATAAGAGCGAGCAAGTCAAGTTGGATTCGAGGGAAACGGGTTCGCAGACGGCTAGGGTAGAAGACGGAGACGAGGCAGAAAATGGGAATGAGGTCCAGAGACGGAGATCAAAGCATCGAGGGGCAAGCTAGTCGGGGGTGCGCCCTGGAGGGCAGAAAAAAATAGCAGAGAAGCCGAGGAGTGTGAGTGAGAATGGAAAGTAAGAAGCACAAGAAACCGACAGACTGAGCGACAGAGTGCAGCAGCCGTTGCCCGCTCTCTGCCAGGTGACCGGGACCGATTAGGACGAATCGCAAGCAGTGCTAGAGCCAAAAAGTGCCTTATGTAGGTGGTGCAGCTCCAATTCGCGGTAGTCAAGTTGAAAGATGGTCTAGTCGGGGGTTCCAGCTTAGAGATATGCGAGGCTGCGTGTCTGTCTTACATGTGGTTTGTCCGTTGCCTTCAGGCCCGCTAATGGCACGGGCTGCAAGCGCCCCAGCCTCACAGGCTGGTGTTGTCGTTAGACGTTAGACGGTCGGTCGAACTAATACAGAAGTGGCAGTAGTCCTTTCCGACAGGAGATCGTAATCATTGTAATCATTGTAACGAACTCAGCATGAAGCTAAAAGAGAGGATCATGGATCAGATGGGCTGGTACGGAGTACCATTTCGAGGACGGAGACGATCATTACTCTCCGGATCCTCGTGGAGGTGATGAGTGGGTGAATGCATGCAGACGAGGACTAGTGGGAAAACCAATTCTCAATCATTCTGCAGGGAGACTTGGTGAAAAGATTGATGCGATGCTCGAGTGGTACTGGTTCTTAATTCGATGAGCTAAGGATGATAAATCAGTTTATTAGATTCAAGGAAACCCTGGACACTTACCAATCTCCAATACCATAACTACGGAATACGGAGTAGGTGTTTGGCAGATTGGTTTCTCAAATTGATATTGGGGGTGTGGCTAAGTAAGTAATGGAAGATGAATAGTGATGAAGCCAGCAGTAAGATTCGTGGATCCGACATTGCGATTGGAAGAAGATACCCTCATAAGTGGGAGAAGAGCAATCAACGATACCTGAGTTAGTACTCCGTGGTTTGTGGATGTGTGGGTGTCAAGAGGGGCTCGTCCCTGTCAGGCCGAGCAGATAAGGACTCGACAAGGGAGTCCGTGCCTGACTGGTTTGTTCCCCATTCCGTGCCAAGTTTGCCAACCCACCATCTACGGAGTACACCCTCAGAAGACTTGAAGTGAATCACGCACTCTTCTTTTACTTTTCCATTTATTTTTTTTCCTACTTGCTGACCCAACCACCAGGATTCCTCGCATTATCGGATTTTCAGGGGTCTGTTCTCGATTAAGGAAGTAGACTTTGGGGTCTTAAGACATGCCTGCTAGGTACAGTACGGAATAATGCCGCCGTGCTTCAACGAAGAAACATGCTGACTCGCCTAGGAAAGAAGAACATCGGTCTACCCCGCCATTTCACTGTTGTTTCTGACTGTCTGACATGTCTATCCTCGGCCATCCGTCCTCATTCAGGCACATCACGCCGTGGATTTCTTTTTTGGACCCCACGGTCCGTTCGGCCGGTCTACAATTAGTGGCCCCTGCACTATCCAATGTCATCCTGCTTACCGACCCGCTCTGGAATCGCCAGAAGTCCTTGTCCTTGGGGTCTGGTTATCCGGTGATAGATGACAGGGTATGGAATGCAACATGCAGCTAGACGGTCCGATGCGCATCCAACACGTTGTTCCACACACTATGGAGTATAAAGTAGGAAGAAGATAGAGCTACAAATCACGGCTCTACTGAACGATAAGGAACTGGAACGGAACAATAGGGTTGACGGCCCCGTTCTAGACCCCAGGACTGCGGCGGACGGATCACTTTCCGCTCGCAAGACCCACGGGAGAGGCCCATTTCCCGGTGGCTTCCGTGCAAACACCACCTGGCAGCCACCTAATCATCCAGCGTGCTAATTGGCAGACGCACAGCATAAAACCTTGGGCAGAAGAGCCTAAGCAGCTATCCATTTCTCATGGCACGATCCAGGCATGTCAGCCTACCAAATCGGCAATTAAACTCTCGATATTTACATCTAGAGACACAAAATGTTCCAAACGATGCGCAACATTGTTCCTCGAAAGGTGAACAACCTGAAATCCTCCGGGATCGTCAAATTTATTTTCGACACAAATCCGGCTTCTAATCATGTCAAAGAGCCACGTTTGCTTGCACCCGACCATCGGGGTGGCTTACCTACATGGACCTATTGATTTCTTCGTTCATCACTCCAATATTTGATCAGCATGTCTCGCACAGTAAGCGGCTTGATGTTGGGGAAGATCTTATTCAATGAGTCCTGGGTCGTAATGCATGATGTGCCATCTGCGGTATACAGTTCGAAGATTGACATGAACCACTGAAAGGCTTTCTTCGGGAAATGCTGATACAGGGCTTGATGTCCAGGCAACTCGGTTATCTCGAACCCCCGGAGTTTTTCTATGCTGTCATAATGAATTTCGAATCGACAGCCTGGCGGTTCGAATTAGAAAAGTCTCTCGGAGAAAGCGAAAACCAGACTCACCACAGATCTCCTCCGCCAGCCTGACGAATTCATGCCAGGTGACAGTATCGCCGATCACACGGCTTTCTTCGGGCCAGTCTTCCATGTCGAGCATGGCGACAACATACCGGGCCAGGTCAAAGGTGTAGGTGAATGTGAGTGGAACTTCACCATCTCCAGGGATTCCTGCTGTCTTGTTTCTCAAATCTACAACGAAGATATTCGGTTTCAGGTATGATTTGAGCGTCGATGGACCGAAGTAGTCAAGAAAGATACCATTGTGGAAGACGGTCCACTGAAGATCTGACTGTCGGAGAATTTCAATTGCTTTGAAATAGTCCGCAAGTTGCGGCAAAAGCTTCACGGCACTAAGATTCATCAGCTTATGTGGCACGAAAAAGTATGCATCCACCCTAGCGGAACATACTCCTGAGGATATGGAATGGCGAAGCCACTGGGCACAAATCGCCGAGTGACTTTGGAATTGATGGCAGCTTGGATGAGGTTTAGTTGCGATATCGCCAGAGAATCTCCCTCCACGGCGAAACAACAGATCACTGTGTCGATTTGATGTGTGTCTAGCACAGCAACCAAACCGTCAACGCTTCCATAATCGACTTGAATGGTCTTGCCACCCTCGCCATCAGACTACTCAGCCTTGTCAGTAACGATGCACCTAGAAAAACCAGACATGTAATGATTACAACCTTGCGGGATAGGATAAGAGCCTCGTGCTCAGAAGAATCATTCAACACCTCCACAATTGTGCGACCAACACCACCATGGCCTCCAGCGATAGCAACACGAACCATTTTATCATCCAATATGCTCAGTAAAGCTCTCGTGAAAGACAAATATCTGCGAGGGATAAGAGCTCGAATTTATAGTGAAGACTTGGTCCGCATAGTCCTCATGTCATGGCCGCTCCACTCTGCGATACGAAAATTGCCTTTTTGGGATTAGGTTCGAAGCGCCTGTTGCAGCGCCGAGACCTAGGCTAGAGTTACCGAGTGACAACGGGGTACTGAGTACGACCATCAAATACGTACGCATTTCAATGCCTGCAGTTCTCGCTTAGACCACCCTCAAAAGCCCAATGGATATCACGCCCGGGCTGAGGAAATTTCGGATCAGTTCCGCACCAAAGAGACAGTCCCAACAGCAAGGCTTGTCTCGAAAGTCTCATACCAAGTCCCGTGGAGGCTGCCAAGCGTGCAAGAGCAGTAGAGTCAAATGCGATGAGATTCGCCCCAGCTGCCGCAGATGCTGCCAACGCCGGACGCTGTGCGTGTATGGTGACCCTCGTGCTGCCCACAGTCAGGCTAGCTTGGAAGATCACGAGCCTGTCTGGTCAGGCTATGTGACAGGCAATCATAGTCATGTCAACAACTGCTTGAATCCCAACGGACCCTGGCTTCCTGGTGGAATATCGCCAACACCCAGATCGATATATCTTCTACGGCATATTGACGGCTGCCTTGATGCAACATTGACGTCTGAAGTTGGAAGGGAGATATTCAAACAGTTTCTGCTGCCCAACTGCGCATCCATCCCAATGCTTCATAGTGCTCTCCTAGCACTTTCGGCTCGACATCTGCAGCATCTGCAGCCTGCAAGCACCGAGTACCAGAAGGCGTGCTGGCTTCATACACAGACAGCAACACGCTTGCTTAGGGAAGAGCTCGCGCAGCATCCGACAGCGTTAAGTAAGCTAGACGCTGTCTATGCCACCGCGCTTCTCCTAAACATGATCTCCTTTGCTTCGCATGAGAGACCGCCATCCAGATCTTGGGTATTTCAGCCCACTGCAGCGGCTAGGGTCAACAACCTCAGCTGGCTGTCCGTACAATGTGGACTAGGCTACTTAGCAAGAATGATGCAACAGAACCCGCAGCAAGGCTTCTGGCGTTTGAAAAATGAAAGACAGAAGCGGCTTGCGTTGGAAGCCCCGCCCGCTACTCGGCGGGATCTGCCTTTGTCTCAGACTCTGCGATGTGCGCTGGAAGATCTATGTGATGTCACTACCAGTAGCCTTCCGGACAACAACCCGTATTATATGCCCTTGAGCGTCATCGCTCCCATGCTGCAGCAAAATGAATCAAATGCCCACGGCACTAACTCATTGCTGTCATTCGGGCCTAAGATATCTGCAGCATACCGGAATCTTCTGCTTGAGCGAGATGAACGGGCGCTGCTGCTCCTGATGTTGTGGTTAAAGCTTCTCTGCCAAGCAGACGTCTGGTGGATCACTGACCGCGCCTATCAAGAGTTTCTGGCTCTCCGACACGTGTTGAGCTGCAGTGCCGATCTCCGAGTACAAAGCATACTCTCCCTTTGCGAACCAAGCCGTGACAGAGTTTCGGTTACGCTTTTCACTTGAACTGATTGAGAGAATCTCAGAGGATCACCATGAAGGGGATGCTCACACCAGTGCAGCAAGTCGCTGGGACTGGTGTGCTTGGCAAATCAATGAGTGAGTGTCCTCAATAAATGCTTGAATACAAATACAATGGCTTCCTTGTACTGAAGATCGGTTGTTTTGATAGAACACAAAGCCCACAGCTCATTACTCCAATGTGACCGTGATCCAAGTGACTCAGCTTCCCTGGAATCAAAAAGCTTCACATGTCTGGTCAGGATTTTGATACAGTACCACCGGGGCTGGGACAAAGATCCTTGTAGATTTTAACTCTACAGCAACCTCAGGCCAACCTCAGCCAACGTCTAATTTTGTGGCCTAAGGCAACAACAGGGTCCCGAGCAGGACTAGCGGATCGCTTGGAGCGGGTCTCAATCAATGGGTTTGCCCCATCTGGTCCTCAATAAAGCTTCAAGCTTCCCCAGCCGTTGTTCAATAGACGGCCAACGCGCAGCGATTGGCCTCACGCTCCCGTTTGGTTCGTCTCTACCTCCTACTACAGTTTCCAGAAACTTCATCATCAGCCTGGGAGCCCAATCCCAGAGGTCACCATCACAGCCAGAGACACAATGACCGCAGCGACCCAAGAAATCGAACAACTTTTGCCGAGGACACATTCGGACTCATGTCGGGCCAAACAATGGATTGGCTAGCGGACCGACAACGTGTCTATTGTCGAAATTTTCGCGGACTAAACTCTTGGTGGTACCAATCAGAGACTCTACACACTTGACCATGCTGAAGGAATGACCGGCCCAGACTCTGGTTGAGGCTTGAGCTTATTCCGCGATTGACAGGGAATAGCTCTCGTCGGACGCCATGCAGAAGGAAGCTTAGTTGTCATCGTCACGTGGAAAATACGGAAGGACAGAAGATATCGGTCATTCACTCGATGACACAAAAGCCATGTGTAGTCCGGGGTTTGAATGAGCCACGTGGGTGCAGTTCTTCGATTGTGTCATGCGTTTTCTATGCTAGATCGCAAGCATGTGGCCGCGTTTTATGCCGATCATCTTGGGTGTTTTGCCCGTGCTGGTCTGGGGGACCGCTACACTCCCTATTCCTGCAGACAGGTACCTCGTAGTAGACCAGCTGCAAGGTATTCCGGATGGGTGGATGCGACAGTCTGGTCCTACTACATATACGCCAACGAGATTCTGGTTGGCGATGCGCAGGTCCAATGTCTCTCAGTTCGAAGAGCAACTGATAGCCCGGTCGACTCCTGGCCATCCTGACTATGGCCGCCATCTGACCAGAGAGGAGCTTCGGGCGTCTATGCGCCCTTCCGACGAGGTTGCTGCCAAAGTCCGTGCATGGCTAGAATGGGAACATGTGCCGGCCGAGTCAATCGAAGATCGGGGCGACTGGCTTGCGTTCACTATTCCCTTATCGCAGGCCGAGTCAATGATGAAGACTCAATTCAGCCACTTCTACCACCCAAGGACACAAACGACAACGGTTCGGACGCTTGCATACTCTGTCCCAGATAATATCCGTCCGTTTGTTCAGCTCATCCAGCCTACAACACGGTTCGGATCTCCTCAAGCTCTTGACAGTCCCGAAACCTTTGTGCCTGTTGCGCTCACTGCAGAAGACCTCGCTGGCAATTGCTCGAGGACAGTTACTCCTGCTTGTCTGCGCCAGCTCTACGGGATCAATGATACCGAGATAACACCCGACCCACGCAATCGGCTGGGTGTCTCCGGCTTCTTGGAGGAATATGCACGGTATGACGATCTGGAGCAATTCCTTGCAGAATATGCCCCAAATCAAGCCGATGCCAATTTCTCCGTGGTCTCCATCAATGGTGGGCGTAATCTCCAGTACTCGCTCAGTCCGTCCAGTGAGGCGGCCCTTGACATCCAATACGCTCTATCGCTGTCCTACCACGCGTCTGCTGTGTACTATACTACTGCCGGGCGTGGGCCGATGGTGCAAGAGTCCGGGATGCTGACCATAGCTGACTCAACAAATGAGCCCTATCTCGAGCAACTGCACTACCTGCTTGACCTACCAGATAAAGATCTCCCTGCGGTTCTTAGCACCTCCTATGGGGAAGAAGAGCCGTTTGTACCCGCAGCATACGCAGAAGCTGTCTGCAACCTCTTCGCGCAGCTGGGGGCCAGAGGAGTATCTGTCATCTTCAGCAGTGGTGACTGGGGGCCCGGCGATGCATGTATGACCCATGATGGTACACGGCGGACTCGGTTCCAGCCCGTCTTTCCGGCGTCGTGTCCGTTTGTCACTTCGGTGGGCGGTACGGAAGGGACGAAGCCCGAGTCTGCCATATCCTTCTCCGGAGGCGGCTTCTCGGATATCTTCGCTCGACCTTCCTATCAGGATGCGGATGTCACGGGCTATTTGCACAGCCTGGGGAACCTGTATGAAGGACTTTACAATCCACAGGGACGCGGCATCCCTGATGTCTCCACCCAGGCCAATAACTTTGTGCTTCGGGATCATGGTGAGTGGATGAAGACTGGGGGCACTAGGTGAGATCTTCCTTTCCTTAGTCACTAGCAGTCACGAACTCGGGATTGACTGGAACTGTAGTGCTGCGGCGCCTGTCTTTGCCGCCATAATCTCTCGACTGAATGCAGCGCGTCTGGAGCAGGGCAAGTCCACACTGGGCTTCCTGAACCCATGGCTATACTCGCTCAAACAGAGGGGATTCACGGATATTGTCGATGGAGGATCGGTTGGATGTGACGAACCCACCGGAGCGCAAGTACCGTATGCCGGATGGAATGCGACTCCAGGCTGGGACCCGGTGACGGGGCTGGGCACACCATACTATGAGACTCTGTTGGAGCTTGCATTGGAAGCTTAGCCACTTTAGTCAATTATTAATCTCTTCAATGTCTAACAAAATCCCTCTTACCGTTGTATTATAGTAACTAAGAGAGGGCTGTCTACCTGCCCTGCCAGGTCCAGTAGATATTTCCCAATCGGGTAAGATGCTCTAAGCACCAACTACACGTGACCCGTATCTCACCGCCCGGGGACAGCTCTTCCCGGCAGTTCCAAGCATCAACGTCAACGTCCATCAGCCCAACCCTCGTCCTACGTATAACACCTCAATCCTAACCTCTCAATTTACCAGTCCTCATCATCACCCTCCACAGCTCAACCACCGACCATCCAACCCTCACGTCCAGCACCCCATCCCGCATCCCTAACCCTCTCCTCCCCCCCTTCAACCCCCCAACGAACCGGCCCAAAACCCCAAACCCCAAAGATGGCCACCGACCTCCGCACCCTCATCACCCAGCTCCACAGCAGCCTGAGCGCGCACAACCTCGAAAAAGCCAGCAGCATCCTCACACAAGCGAAGCGCACGCTCCTCCAACAGAACGCCCTGATCCCCACCCCGACCACACCGCGGGAGCTGCTCCCGCTGGCGCGCGAGATCCTCGAGCTCGGCGCCCTCGCCGCGATCCGCCAGACCGATGCCCCCGGCTTCACGCGCTACTACCAACAACTGCAGCCGTTCTACGATCTGGAGCGCGATTCCCGGGAAAGCAACAGCAGCAGCAGCAGCAGCAACAGCCAACGCAGCAAGATCACAGGCCTGTACCTGCTGCTCCTGCTGAGCATGGGCGACAGCACGAGCTTCCACACGGTGCTGGAGGGCTTGGTCGAGGAGGCCAGCCTGCAGGGCCGGAGCGTCGAGGATGACCCCTTCATCAAGTACCCCGTGGAGCTGGAGCGGAATCTCATGGAAGGGAGCTACGATAAGGTGTGGCGGGAGACGAATTCCGAGCGGGTGCCCGGCGAGGATTTCGGGTTGTTTTCGAGTGTATGTCTCCTCCCTTTTTTTTGGCCGGCATTCTTTCTTTAGGGGAGGTTGAGATTGGTGCAGTGTGCGTGCGCTTGCTAACGTGATTCGTGTGAGGTATATAGGTCCTCGTGGGTACGATCCGCAGCGAAATCGCCGATTGCTCCGAGAAGGCGTACCCGTCGTTGCCGATCTCCAACGCCAAGAACCTGCTCTTCATGGACTCGGAAGGCGCGGTGATCGAGTTCGCCCAGCAGCGGGGGTGGGTGCTGCGCGACGGCCGCATCTATTTCCCCGTCGAGCCCGAGGCGGCCGCCCGCTCGGAGAAGGATATCCTGGTCGCGAGTGGGACGATCATTGAGAATGCGATCGGGTATGCGCGCGAGTTGGAGACGATTGTTTAAGGGCCGTTTTCTCCTGTGGAGTGAGGTGGTGTAACTTAGACAAAGATTCCGGGGGGACGGCTGCATCATTTTAATGAGGATTACTATGCCATTTTTCTTCCCTCTCTCCTGCGGAGGGTAGATGAGTATCTCTTGCAGTATACACCTAAGCATTCACTATATTATGATTTATCTATTTATATCTATCTACACCCGAACCCGCCACAAACAGACCCGCCGATCATAGAAGCTACTCGACAAACAGAGGATCTCCTGCGTTTCCGGCATATCGCTGCTGCGCACAGGTAGCTCATACCCGCCCGCCGGCTTCCACACATCAGACGCATAGTTCATACTCTCATGCTCCGTGAACTCTGCCAGAATCTCCAACTCCCACCCGGACTCCGCGGAGGGGCACCGCACCCGCACCACCCGCGTCCCGCCGTGCATACAGCTCGCCAACACCAGCCCGGTCCATCCCTCGTCTACCTCGTCTCCATCCACAGACTGTGACGTAGACGACGACGACGACAGAAGCTGCAGCCGCCACACGCCCCCGCCCAACCCTATCTCCGCGAGAACCTCCCCGCGTCGAGTGGCGTGGTACACTCGCAGGGACTCGTCGTAGCTCCCCGTGAGAATGATGGGGCTGTCGTCTCGGAGTGGAATGGGCAAGGGGAGGATGGAGGTGACGCCCGCGGTGTGGTGGCGGGCGCGGTCGTGGTGGTCGAGCAGCGCGGCGAGGGGTTGGGGCTGACTGTCGTCCGTCTCTGATGTGGTTGTGGGGTTGGTGTCGTAGCGGCGGGTGTGGAGGGCGCCGAAGTCGTTTCCGGTGAAGATGTAGGGGATTTTCTGCTGCTGCTGGTCGGGAAAGGTCGCGAGCGCGGCGAACCAGACTTCGATGGCCTGCGAGGCTGGGAAGGAATCGAGTTCCGCGATCTGGGGTGGTGAGTCCGGGGTCGGGCCGGGGGTATATTGGAAGATGGTGGTGAGGCTGTCGGAGAAGGTGACGGCGAAGGCGTCGAGGGGGGTGGTGTCAGCATTGGTGCTGGGGGTGGGGGATGGCCAGGTCGAGGGCGTCCAGGCGAGAAAGAGGGCGGGGATGGAGGGGTCTTCGTGGACGGAATGTGTGAGCAGATGGGTTAGGGTGGGTGGTTGATCAGCATTTTGGCCAGGCGTGAGGCGGAAGAAGGCGACAGAGCCTGCGCTTGTTGCGATGGAGAGGAGGGAGGGATCGCGTGGGTGGAAGTGGAGGTCGAAGACTGCGTAGGGAAGAGGAAGTTTGGAGAGCAAAGTGCTGGTTGGGGTTAGTTGCCTCGTTCTTAGGGTGATGCTGGCAGGATATAGAGAAGCTTACAGCTCGTTGGTGGATGGGTTTATGCGCCAGAGCTGCAGAGAGCCAGTCTTGGTCTGTTTGATGTCGGAGTCATTTGCTTCGTCTTTCTGTTCGGACAGCAAGTAGGTACCGATGATGCAGCAGTCGGGGATTGCGGGGCAGAATTGCAGGCAGCTGGGAGGTTGATCGAGAAAGACAGTAGTGTTGGAGGCAGGTTGCTGCAAGGGAGGAGGCGGAGAGTCTGTCATGTTGCAGTGTTGGGGTAGCGCTCAATGGATGAGTGGGGGAGGTTGCAATTGAAGATATTTTGCAGTATAAAAAGATACGGAGACAATCAATTAGTGTGTAACAAGCAGCAAGTGGAACATGGCAAATGGTAAAGAATGGAGTAGCTGTATAGAATGATTGGTTGCATAGGATTGGCTATAGAAGTATAGAATAATGGTGGAATGGAGTCTAAAGGTCTGATCTAGAAGCATACACGAGGATCCTGTGAACTAAATTGGTGTGGGCTGATTGACTGATTGACTGACTGATCGATTGATTGATTAAACTCCCTATCTTGTTCACACCTCATCATCATCCACCCTCTCTCTCCTCTTCTCCTCTCCATAGTCATTGTCAGTATCTGACTCTTACCAAATCGATCTATGACACTCGTTCAATTCCACCACTTCAATTGCAAGAAGTCCTGAACATCTCCGCCCGCATGTCGTCATACTCGCTGTCCTCGAGTACTTCCTCCTCCCCCCGACCTCTCGACCAGTCCCAAGAACAATCACAACAACAAACTCCAACCCAGCAACACCAGCACCACAACAACCACCACCACCAGCAGCAGCGATCCTCCTCCCTCCATCAATCAGCAGCCTCCTACTTCTCCTACCCGGTCACCCACGTCGTCTCAGGCCTGTACCGCCGCTTCACCGACCCTCAATCCACCCAAAACAGCAACAACAACAACAGCAACAAGGACAGCAGCACGATGCGCCGCCCCTGGCACTCCAACACCACGCCCACCGACAGATCATCCACAACCAACACACTCTTCACGCCCGTCCGAACCGCCTCCCCCTTCCAACCCCCGCCACTGACCCCTCTAACCCTAACCGATCCCTCCAGCCACCACCCCGACAACAACCAAGAAGACTACCTGCTCACGCGCTCGCTGGCCGAAGAGATCCGGCTGTTGGTGCCCGCCCGCCTCCAACTGTGCGACACCTGGCGCCTAGCCTACAGCCTGGAACGCGACGGCGCCTCGCTGTCGACCCTGTACGAGAACTGCCGCGCCATCTCCCAGCGCAGCCCGCGGGCGGGCTACGTCCTGATCATCCGCGACGCCTCTCCCTCCCCCTCCACCACCTCATCCTCAACAACAACAACAACAACCTCCACCAAAAATAATGGCAGCACTGGCGCCGTCTTCGGCGCCTACATGACCGACCCCCCGCACCCGGACTCGCACTACTTCGGCACGGGCGAATGTTTCCTCTGGCGCGCCTCGGTGCTACAGCCGCCCTCGACCGCCCAACTCCTACAGTCGATGTCCACGATCAACCACCAAGAAGAAGACGCCGCATTGGCCGTGCTCGAACGCGCCGGGCTCCCGTTACCGCCCAGCGCGGACACCACGCACGCCGGGCGGTCGACCACCCTGCGGAGCCGGAGTCCCTTGCCTCGTACCAGCGGAAACTTGTCGGTTCCTGGGACGGGTTGTACCCCCCAGAACACTGGGCATAGTAGTGGGACGGCGACGCCGGAGCAGATCCGCTTCAAGGCGTTCCCCTACAGCGGCGTCAATGATTATATGATGTTCTGTGAGACGGGGTTTTTGAGTCTTGGTGGGGGGTGAGTTTTATGTCTCCTCTTTCCCCTCCCTGTCTTTATCAAGTTGCGAATGGTTTGGATTGGACGTGCTAACAAACTGGTGGTCTAGGGATGGGCATTACGGGCTCTGGGTGGACTCGAGCTTGGAGAAAGGCGTCAGTGCCGCGTCTCAGACTTTTGGCAATGAGCCGCTCTCGGATGAAGGCGTCAAGTTCGATATCCTTGGGGTAGAGGTTTGGTATGTCGGTTCTTAGGGTCGGGCGCGCAAATGAGGCCCCCGGTTTTGGGTAATCAGGTATATGTGTGTGTCTCCACTCGGTCATTTGTAGATTGATTGCTGCTGGATTATAACAAAGGGGGGGGATCATGATCTGCGGGCAGAATGGTCTATAATAATCTGAACATTGACCCGGCCAGGTGGCATGAATCAGGGAAGGGGGTTTGGTGCGCGCGAGGCAGATGAAATGCCAATCGGGAATTAGTATAGGCAGCGCCCACTACAGTACTGTGGCACTGCTCGAATAATCCATCGTCATCTCATAATTCGTGTACTTTGAATACCACTACATAGAGCTACCTAGGAGAAGTATCATCGTCGCATCATTCGCCATTCCCAATCCCACCGTCAGAGATTTCCATCAAGACATTACGATCCGTGATGTTAAGCAGGAATGTTGACACCAAACGTGTAGAAGGGACAGACTCAAAAAATAAACAACACAGAGGGGTATGCAATGCGATAAATCGAAACAGGAAACCACCAAGTTAGCATCAATACGGCGAGTTGACAATGTCGTCCCGGCCCAGACGACTACCCCATTGCGTACGGCGCCGAGGGGTCATGGGCAAGGGACCAGCGATACTCTCACGCGTCGGCTTCAGCAGACTCTTCTTCGCCACCATGTTGACTTCGTTGGGTAGCGCAACAATGACATTCTTGTCCGAACCGAAGCGGAAATTGTCGGCCATGACTTCCTCACCGTACCGCTTGATGGTGTAAGGGTCCTTGCGGCCAGCGATGACCTTCTTCAAGCTCCAAGTGATGATGAAGGGACCGGTAGCGGTAACGATCGACGTTTCCTGTGAGTCAACACCCGTGTTGAAGCGAGCCTGCGTGAAAGCAATTGGTTTCTTGGTCTCGTGCTGGAATTGGGCGACATGAGCGGGCTGCAGACCCAAACGACGCGGCTGCGGCTTGGAGTCTTTGGCGAAAGAACGCTCAAAGCCTAACTTGCCCTCGTTCTTGCCGTCCTTTTGCAGGGCGTCGATGAGCAGGAGATAAGTGCGGCATGTAGCCAAGACCCAGCGACCGTCGGCGGACACATCGAGACCAATAATAGGCTCACCCAGCGCAGGAATATGAGTCTTAGCATTGATACCAAGTCGGTCAAACATGCGGATATCGCCCTTGTTAGACGCGACGGCAATGTATCCCTTCTCCGTGGTAGCCACAGAGGAGAAGTCGTTCTTGCTGGCGTATTGCTTCAGCTCAGACTCCACCAACTTGTTTCCGGCCACACGGGGATCGACACGGAACAGAGCATTCTTCGAGGCACCAATGAAAGATTGAGCGGATGTCATTTGAGAGAATTTCTAGGCGCAAAGTTAGCGATCATTCATCATTGAATCACAGGTACTGATGTGGGTGTTGACTTACACTCTCCGGGGCAAAGGTGTGCACGGGGATGTCATCATGCACCTTCCACTCGTCCACAATTTTGCCGTACTCCAAGTCCATGCGGTAAAGAGAGTTGGGGTCATCGCTGTTCTGCAAGATCATGTTGGAATCTTCGGCGTGTAGCATGACCTTCTTCGGGCTGAAAAGCTTGCCACTTGGAGTCTCAACCTTGGAGATGTTGGTCGAGAACTCGAGGTTGTTGTTGGGGGTGTGCTTGAACACGCCGATCTTAGAACCACGAACCACGAACGAACGATCGTGCTTGTAACCGACGGCCAGTTGCGAGTTGACATTGCCATCATCTTCACGGGTCACCACATCGTCTTCTTCCTCGTCGGAATCGTAGTGTTCGCTACGCTGACCGTCATCCTGGTCCTCTTCTTCGGACTCCTCTTCCTCCTCGGCCTCAGCCTCGGCTTCGCGCTCCTCAGCGTCCTCCATGGTCAGATCCTGGAAGGCGTCCAAAACATACTCCTTCTCATTCTCCTTGACCTTGGCCCACTTCATTTCGTTCAGCTGTTCCCACAGCGCCTGCATGAGACCCTCTTGGAATCTCTCTTCCGTCTCTTGATCATGGAAGCGCAGGAGCCAAGAGTAGGCTGAACCGTCCTCGCTGTAGGCGTTGAAGATGAAGGACAAATATTCAAAGTTGAAGACAGGGTTGATATCAGCGACGACTGCCTGGCCAAGCCATTCCTTGTCGTCTCCACTAATCTGGAGCCAATATTGCCAGTCACCAACCTCGGAGACTGTCGCGGTGATATTGGCATCTTGCTGTACAAAAGTTCCAGTGGGGAAATCGAAGAGGTGCAGTTCGGCCTTCTCTTGCGCGAGAATCTCCCGGGGCTCAGGTTGCGCAGCCGACGGCGGAGCAACAGTCGATTCGTCTTGAGCAGCAGGCTTGATCAGGCCCTTCGATTTGGAATATTCCACGTCCCTCGCCATGGCAGTTGCTGCGTCGGGGGAATCGATCGAGTGGTCGCGAGACTTGGTGGGCGAAGAGATGGGACTTGCTGACGGGATAGGCTTCTCCTCTTGGAATGAGAACTCTTGCAGCTCTTCCCGAGTAGCCTTCTGCGAGCTTGTTCTATACGTCCGCTCGTACTGGCACTGAAGGGCGGCCAACTCAAAGGTGGAAACCTTGTCCGCCGGCACAGACGCGTCGCAGACAAACTCGAAGAGATCACCTACGTCGCCACTGAGGTCTCTCCAGGCCAGAATCTTGGCACCACCTTCGCGGACCTCAGAACGAAAGTGAAGGGCTTGGTCGAGCAGGAAGACCTTCTCGTCTTTATCCAAGCTGTCACTGCCTTGCTCGTCGTCGTCTTCAGCAAGCTCCTCTTCCCCTTCCTCGTAAGCACGTTGAACGACGAGTTGATATTGAAATTCTTGCCCGGTGCGTCTGATGGAGGCAGCGGCGTCCTTGAAGATGAGCTCTGAGTATCCCTTGGGCGATAGGGGGCGGACAAGGTACAGTTGTCCCTGAGGAATTTCGATGATGGATTCTTTGGAAGTGTCTCCGAAGAGGTACTTGCTCACTGAAAAGAAGAAGGGTAGATGGTTAGCATGTGATGGTGGAGGGATGATGTCAAGAGATGAAGAGGTGACCGGGGAGAGGGAAGGAGGGGTCGATGGTGGTGGGGTCAGGTGAATGAGGAAAGTGAAAGTGTCTGATCCTGAGCCTAGACCAAAAGCTAAATGAGAGGAACTTACCATTGCGGAGCATGAACATGGCTGCAGCTGGCCGGGCGTCGGAGCAACAGCAACAGGTTGTTCGTTCGGGTGATATCAGAGGGAGGGGGGATCCTGTTGCTAGGGGAGCAGGGGTGTTGATCAATCCAGGTGCAAGAGAAGTAGGAAGAGAATAGATCACTGGCGTTGCCGAGAGTGAAGAACTTCGTAGCAGTGGCAGAGAACAGTCAACGGCAGGCTGACTCAAGCCAACTGCAACTTGTGAGTGTGGGATGGCAGGCGATGCCTCGTTGTGAGTGAGGTAGAAAATAAAATGTTTTGATTTCCGCTGTTGTTTTCTGCCGTCATCGAGTGGCAACGGCTGTGGCGTTGATCGATCTGTGGCTCGGGTGGCGGTGCATGCCAATCATGTGAAATTTCATCATCAGTCACAAGTAACTTACAGTACAGTACATACATTACATTCCCATGGTTCTAGCTCCAATCTAATTGCCCTCTTTGGCTTCTACTGCATCGTTTTGTTCCTCCTGCTCCTGCTCTTGTGCAACAGCATTTGCTTCCTGAATAGCCTTAGCCTCTTCTTCGGCATCTTTCTCCCCCTCTCCCTCTTCTTCCTCCTCTGCCTCATCTTCTCCATCCTGCGGCTCCCCCGACTCATTGACCGACTCTTTCAAAGTGCCGCCTTTGCGCTGGGGAATGACCTCCATAAAAGCCTTGCCCCAGTCGCCCACCTCCAACCACTTCAGCATGATCTCCACCACATGGTTCGTAGCCAAGACCTGACGGGAGGCCATCTGGATGTATTCGCCGATCGGCAGCTTGGCCGTCTTGATCCCCCGCTCGACGGCCTGTTTGTAGCAGATCCCCTTGTGGCGGTTCTTATCCACCAGTCCGCCGATGATGTAGGTACTGAACGGCTTCAGCTCCGTCAGGGTATGCGGACTGTCGCTGCTCAAGTAGACAATCTCGCCGTCCTCGGGTTTTGTGTCGGCCTTGTCGGCAAAGACGCCCTCGAACCGGCCGCCGTCCGGCACGACCATCCACTCCTTGGCCTTCTCCGCGGCCTCGACGAAGTCCTCCTCCAGGAAGCGGATCCCCTTCCAGTTCTCGTACGTCTTGGCCAGCACGGTGTCGAACCGCTGCTTCAGCAGCTTGTTGAACGAGGAGACCACCAGGTGCGACCGGAACGGCGCGCGGCTGTTGTCCGAGTACGACCGGGTCAGCTGCGAGCCGAGCGAGATGCGCTCCTTCTCAATCATCAGCTCGTCGAACCCGCAGTCGAGGATCAGCGTCAGGGGCAGCAGGGTGCCCTTCCGGAACCGCGCGGGGGTGCGCTCGTGCTCCTTGCGGAACTCCGCCTCGCGGCCCTCGTCCTTTGCGACCTGGAGCTCCGCCCGCCGGCGCTCCTTGCGGGCCTGGATGCGCTCCTTCCGCTTGACCTTGCGCTGCTCGCGCCCTTCCTCCCACTGTTCCCGGCGACGCTGGCGCTTCATGGCGCGCTTGGACATCGGGGCCGTCTCGTCGCTCGGGTCGCTCGGGGCGCCATTGTGCGCTGTTGTTGTGGTGGTGGTGGCATCATCATCGTTATCGCGGGTTTCGACTGGGGCAGTTGAGGGTTCCGGCACAGGAGCCGACTCCGCCATCGTTGTGTCCTGTTGTGGTAGTGGTGGTTGTTGCGAGTCGTCGTGGTCGAGCTTGACCAACTTTCTGGGACGACCGTCTTCCTCCATTTTCTGGGAAGAAAGAACTCTTCACAATTGAGACAAAGCCCAGCAACAAAAGTCTCTCAAGACAAGCGTCCTCCAAATAGACACTGTAGATATAGTATGTTCTCTCGCCAAACCGGCCCAGCTATCCAAGAAATCCAAACTTCCGCTGTTCATAAACGGAACAATCGACAATGGCTTCAAGAACAATTGATCAATGAAATTCGGACCGCCATGGGGGGAAAGGAATACCCCACCAATAAGAACCCAGCCAGCCCGCATTACCACACCCGCCGCCCGGCACGTGACCATCACACTCTCCCAACCTCAAACCACCAACGGCATCATATCTCCAAATCGAAGCTCGGCCCGGCCGTACGGTACGACTCACCTGAACCCAAACTAATCGTCTACCCCTCTCCCAACCGATCACCATGCCTCAGGACATGCCCCCCGCTGGGGGCTACCACCAGGTGCAATACAAGGTGCGATTGACCCCTCCAAACTTCCCTGGGATATCAGCGCCAACCCCGGACGCAACCGATCGATTGCTATACCATCGATTCAAATCCCCCCTCTATATCCCAGCGCGTGCAACCTCCAATCCCCACGGACTCCAAATCTCCGCCCCCTACACTCCCCAATCTCAGCCCAGCAAGCTAACGCCTCCCTCAATGGAAACAGCGCAACGTCCCCGTCCGCGGCTTCCGTCCCATCGTCTACCTCGCCGGAATGGTCGGGGCCGTCAGCTACGGTCTGTACAAGCAATACTACTCGATGCGTGAGATGCAGTACGTCCAGTCCACCCTCCCTCTCCTTCAGCACCGCAATCCCAACCCCTCGCCAGGCGGAGAGACAGAAACAGAAACAGACAGCTTAGACCAAGAAGAAGCGAAGCGAAGCTAACAACGATCCCAGCGAACTCGGCCGCGAGAAACTCTGGGGCCGCCTGCACATCATCCCCCTCCTCCAGGCCGAGGAAGACCGGGATCAGGTCCGTCGCTACTACGCGGACAAGGCCCGCGAGCAGGAGCTCTTCGGCTCGGAGAATCGGGTGTATAACTCTGACCGGTACGCGTGCGCCCCCAACCCCCTACCTCTCTCTTTTTTTTTTCCCGGTGTCGAATATCATGCTATGGTTCATGCTATGAATATGCTATGGTTAATGCTTCGGAAAACTAATAACGAAATACACCAGCTTCGTCCGCCCTACTTTCGCCTATACCCCTTCGCAGGTTACTGAGTAAACTGAAGTTTTTTGAGAATCAAATACCAAAAAAATTTGAAGACAGTTTTTCTTGCTTCATGGTTTGTATTCGTTGTGTACTGTACTGTACTTTACTTAGGATTGCGAGTGTGGTTTGTTTTTTTAAAGTTTGTTCTCGTTTTTCCAAAGAGGTAGTTTCGACTCGTTGCGTCCTGGGGCGTAGCGGCGACAGAATCCTGAGATTATGAGATGGATCTTGGTTTATGCTCAATTGGGATTATCCGCCTCCACGTGGAGAGGTGAAGCCTTCGTAGCTGGCAGAGTAAAAGGTGGGTTACTGCAGCGTTCATACGAGATAAGTGACATCAAGTTAGCCGTCGTGTCGTGTTCGAGACACTGGCTATCGGCAATTATACTATGTGATCTCAACTCGGCTACTGCTGTTTGCGCTTGCCCGAATTACCTTGGCACTTCTCGCTCCCTGAACCCCAGGTGGCTTCAACAAGCTGTCTATATTCTTAAGTAATAGCTATGCAACCCGATAAAGAGGTAGCTGTAACGGCAGTGGCCGTACACTACCGCCGTACTATACAAAGGGGTAAACCGTGAAGCGGTCTTACCCCAAAAAAATCTATAAACTGTGGGATCCTAACCAAACAAATCCGCCACCCCGGACAGATCCGGTCCGTCGTTGATATCGACTTTCTGATTCTGCTGGCCCTCCATCTCACTCGTCATGTATCTCTCCTGCAGGGCACTCCGCGCTTTCCGGCGGTCCTCGCGCGAACCCAAGATCTTGCCTTGCTCAGCTATGCTGACGCCTCTCAGACTCTCTAGAAGATCCAAGATCAAGGCTCTTTGCTGTCTTGCGGCAGTTGACCTTACCAGCGCGGCCTCTGCATTGGCCACTCGCTGCTCGCTCATGCCAGGAAGGCTCAAAATCACTGCGCGCGGGGTCGGGCTGCTCGAGCCGTAGAGTACCCAGATAGACGCAATGAGCTGAGCAAGATCTTTCTGCATGTCGACAAAATAGGGCTCATGCACAGACGTGATGCAAGCCTTGAGTACCTCGGAAGAGATGAACTCGCGGATGGTGATTGTGGTAGGTGTATTGTTCGGAGGGGCAAAGTCTTGCAGGATGGAGCGAATGACACGGGTGATGATGCTGCAGCAACGGGTATCGCGCATACGAAGGGCATGGGTGCAGAAAAGCATAACTGGCTCAAATATCTCAGGTGAAGAAAGAATAAAATGCCGGATGGAGTCCGAGAGTGCCGGTGCAGGCTGCAGAGCGCTGGGATCTGCTAGCTCGTCATCAGGATCTAGATTATTCTTTAGCATGCTTCTAAATATTCAACGCTCTTTGACTTACCACCACGCTGAGGATCGAGCAGACTGGCTACCATGATCACCGCAGAATACGTCAACTGGCGCAAGATACTCTCGGACTTCATCTCGTCAGTCAGGTCATCAGACTCAGCAAGTCCCTCTTTTCTCTGTTCAATCAGCTCCCATTCTGATGTGACCTTCTTGTCGATGCTGGTAAAGAGGGTGGCCAGCATTGGAGGCAGAAAGTTGCTTCGGAAGCGAACCGGGCAGTCATCAATCAAGCAGCGTGAGATATTGAGAAGAACAGAGAACTGATGAGAGGAAAGGTGGACAGAGTCCTTGAAGAGAGCTTGTGAGAGGGGACCTGGAAGTTCTGCGAATCCATAGAAATTCTCCCGTAGTCGGCTCATGCTGAACAACATTGAGTAGCACGCTTCACGCACAGCTCGAATCTTGCCTCTCACAGATGAGGCGAATCCTTCGACTGAGCCACGAGATGCAGTGATCTTAGCATAAAACTCATCACGACTACCAGTGGAAATCCCGGCTTGCCAAAATCTATCGGTCAATATGCGTTCCACAACCGGCGCCATGTCTGCGGGCAAGCCCTTCCAGTTGCCGGGATTGTGGAACGCGTGAGCATTACTGACTAACTGTAGAAGCGTCGGCAAGATGATAGGAATAAGATCATGCCATACATTGCAAGCAAGCTCATATGCTGGTTCAGACCTTTTGAGCTTATCCGTCGAGACGGCCAGCATCGTCTTGGTACCTCTCAAAGGTAGTTGCTGGAACTTCCTAGTCATTTCTTCCTGAATGAGCTTACCCTCATTGTCCAGAGGAACAGAAGACCAGTCTTCAAGTTTTTGAGCCTGTCTGGACTGCATATATGCTCCGACATTCTGTAGTCCAAGCATAGCACAGAAGCCCTCGAATGTCGAGCTCACAGTTCGGAATTCTTCCTCCTGCCATGCTTGCTTGATCGGCTCCACGAAAGACAGAAGACGAGACTGGCGAAGGTAGGGTTCGACATTATTCGCCCGTTGCATGATGATAAGCAGGATGGAAGTGAGCTCCATGTGAAGCTTATCGTCTACCCGGTTGGCCATGGATATCTCCTTGATCTTGGGTTCCAATATGTCGTAGAACGTAGAGAAGTAGTCTGCGTAGCGCATGGCCAACCGCCGGAGCTCATGACTGGCCAGACCGTGAAGCTCCTTGACTGATTCCGAGTAGACGGGATACTCTGGCTGGTCCGGGAGGCGGGTCATCAAGATGTACTCCAATGCTTTGAGCGCAAAGCTCGGGGTCTTGTCGAGAGCTCTGGCGGAAATATCGACAATGAGCTTGATTACTCTCTGTTTCAAAACCGGATCTTCAAAATTACGCTGCATTAATTTGAAAGCCCACGCCTCCAAGATCTGTTCCAGGTCGCTGCGCTTCTGTTCATCTTGCTGAGGCATCTTTCCATGAGCAGATACCCATTTGTTGTACCCTTTTAGCGTTGCTTCGACAACCGCAAATTGCGTATCGGCCCGCATAAGGGGTATCGAGGTCTTTGAAAATGACTTCACGGCGAAAGGTTCCACGCCGCTGTAAAGGTTGTCTAGGTTTCCGTCAATTCCGGCAAGTATATGAGGTATGGCATCCTGGGGTCGCTTCTGGACGATCGTTTCGATGATGGAGGAACAGTATCGGCGATAGTTCCCGACAAACGCGTGTCTCTCGGGGATTGTGTCAATGTCCTCATTAAGGAACATCACTGTAGGATTGTCGGATTCTGCAGGCAGAGATTCCCAGCGAATGAGGCGCTCAGTACAAATACTCAGCAGCGAAGGGATTAGACCAATAACGAGGTCCGTGTTTCCAATCCTCTCGGAGGCTATCAATTTAGACCACACATGAAGGACAGGGATCGAGATTGTGAGACTTTGATTTTGGATGACAGTAATGGTAAGATGAAAGAAGAAAGGTAGGTCCATGCCCTGTGCGCTTTCTAATGAGAATGCCTTCTCTTCGAGAAATCCAGCGATGTACGAAACCATCTCGGAGAGCTTTTTGCAAATAGTATACTTGGTGTCGTCCACATCGTCTGGTCCCACAACTGACCATTCGTACAGCTTCTGCAGCACACTGAGCGCTTGAGTCTCGTACATGAAGTGTACCAAGGGCTGGAATCCTTCAATCTCAACGTGAGACCTGCTGTACAGTGCATGCAGAGCTTCAACAGCCGCCAAGAGCACAAGCTCGTCATTGCAGGTGAAGGCACTGGCAATGCAGGGGACACAGTTGGACGAGAGTACGGCCTTGGGGATTGCCCATGTCAGCAGGGATTTGAGAGTGGCAAGCGCTTTCAGTGCGGAGTCCCGGGCCTGCTTCGAGTTCTGGATGTTCCCGATACAGTCGTGCAGAAAAGCGCAAATGCGAGACATCCATCCCTCAGGTCCGCAACGCAGCTCAAGATTATCCTTCTTAGGATGGATCTCCTCGAAGACGGCCAGGGACGTACAGATCTCGACCATAGCCCGGTTTAGGTCCGTGCCACGCAAGGATGATACGGTATCTTCACGATAGAAAATGTCCTCCGACAGAGTTTCAAGAATGGATAGTACCAATTCCTTATGCACGAGGCTTGCATTCCAGAATTGAAGAAGCGTTTCGTCCATGGAATTCCAATCCAAGCCCCAGCTCCTCTTGGCGACCTCGGCCCACAGTTGCGGGATCTTGTTGCGAATGTAAGCAGGATCTTCAGGTCGGATCGACTCCGCCAACTTCAGAACGAGGTCCCTGATAGCCGAAATCTGGTCTTGAGCTTCAAAGGAGGTGTGGCGCAAGACATGATCCAACAAACCCAGACCGAAATAGCGGACGAGAGGATTGGTCTGCTCGGGAAGCGCAAGCATATAACCATTGTGCGCTGCCGACTTGCTCTCTTTTTGGGCCTCGACAAAGGTCAAGGCTTCTCTGCGTAGCTCGTTGGTGGAGGACGGGTTGTGGATAAGCTCCAAGGCGCGGATGATGTCGGCCATGCGGCCCTCCGACAGATCACCTTCGGCGGCCATGGTTGATGTGGGAAAACAACTCCTTCGCTGCTCTTGAAATAAAGACAATAAAGAAAAAGCTATGATTACCTTGACAATTGCTGAAGTGACACTTGCAATGTTCTCATTATCTTTTAGATCCCTGCAAAACCTCCTGCTGGTTCGTTTGGGAATTCCCAGACTTCCGTGGTGGAAGCGGAATTGGCTTGAGCAAACTTTTTGACAACTGGAGGGGGAAATTAGTTAAGGGGAGGTAATAATAGATTCCTGCCCGCCGGGACTTTCAGCCACGAAGTCAGCGATGCTGTTTGGCGCAAGTGGGCAACACTGAGTAATCGCTGAACACACGGCAACCGCCGTTTAGGGGAGGGGGTGGGAGGGCAGTTGCGGCTCAGTAAGGGAGATTCCCTGCGAGGCGCCGATGTTGTTCTGCCTAACGAGAAGTGGAGTGCTTATAGATGGTGTTTTGGTGTTTTGTTTCTTTGATTTTTTTTCCCTTCTTCTGTTCTTGATATATGATTTGGGACGAATAAATAGACAGTAGTAGTGACAAAGATTCAAAGAGAGACAAATACGGAGTGAGGAAGTGGGTACTGTATTAACCACCACACTTGAAGCTTAAAGAAGAGATTTGGAGGGAAGATTGGAAAGTACGGGAAGAGCGAAAGAGAGAGGATCAACAGCAACAGCAACAGTGAGTGAATCGATACGGCGGCAGCGGCAGATAATCAACGCCCGCCTTACCAGGAGAATTTTCCACGCGCTCCCGCTCCAATCACCACATCGGTTCATCCATTTCCCCCGCCAGTCCTCCTCACCGCTTCCTGGAGGGTTTCTTATCGATAAGCAAGCACCAGTACACCCAGCCTGACTTCTGTTTACCCCCCCACACACCACAGAACATCATCTTCTATCTCAAATGCCACTCACGGGTGCATGACTATTCAACTTATGATTGCTGAATTCATATTCGA